ATATTATATTATAGGGGGCGGCTGTGGTGTAGTGGTAGAGCAGCCGGCTTTGTTACCCGCAAGTCACAGGTTTGACTCCCCGCCATGCCCACATGCCGTTTGTGTCCTTGGGCAAGACACTTCACCCATGATGCCTCTGATGTGTGTCCCATCAGTGTATGAACGTGATTGGCACTGATTAGTCTCCATAGATGATTGTACATGTTAGCTTTGTAGAGACCTGATAGAGTGCTTTGTGAATGGGTAAATGAGGACATAGTGTGAAGCGCTTTGAGTGTCCTGGATGGATAGAAAAACCCTATATAAGTACAGTCCATTTACCATTAAATATTACTTCCTTATATCACCATTAAATTAGCCATATTTGTTGTGTATCTGTGAGTGACCTACTTCAGTGTTTGGGGCACCAAACAATCCTACACTGCTGCAGTTTTTAAACTTCCTTTATGTTTCTCAAAATAGACTTCAGCTCATGTTTTCCCATCAGCTGTCACCTCAGAATTCTTCCTAATGTTCTCAATTTATTGGCAAAGTCACAAAAAGTCCATTTGTAACTTAAAGGAAGATGCTCTACTTGTGCTCACCTTAAGTTCTGCAGGTATTTGTGCACTGAAACACAGGATTACATGACTTAACTCCACCATCCACTGTCAGGCTGTAAGACTTTATGTAAACATGTAGGCCTGTTTTCCATTAATTTCAATAAGTTTCAGGTGGATTCCTGCTGATGACTTATTTTAAACACCACAGATGTAATCTGAACCAGAGTTCAGTTGTGAATCAAAATGAAACAAGTCGTTAAAAAGTTTAGTCTTTTTTAAATTCGTGTCAAGTTTGAACTGCAGCACAGACCCGACATCAACACTTTGATGGTATTCAGACTTCAGACTGTCGCTCATGTTCAGTGACCTTTCATGTGTTATTTATCGTAGGCGTGTGCACGTTACCTTATTGGTGGCATCGATGAACTTCACTCCTTTGTAAGACACCGAGAGCACGATGGTCGGTACTTTCTTCATCTGTTCTGTTGACTTCTTAGAGTGCAGCAAAAAGAAAAAGAGATAAAAAAAGACTGGTGACTTTTAAACTTGTATGTCTTTAAATATAAAGATAATTAGTTTCATATTCATTATTTTTCCTTGGTAAAGGAAAAAAGTGTAAACTTATAGTAAAAACATGAAGATGAATGATCTAATCTAACAATCTACTGATTTCCTTTATTATTTAAAATAAAAATAAATCCATAAAGGTCATGCTTTGTTTAAGGCTTTTGAAAGGCAACTAAAATATTATTTCTAGTCCAAATTAACTGCAGGGATTCAAATTTAATAAGGCCTGAAGCAATATCAGACTCCCACTGTATATCTCATTACATACCTATATGGAATATATTATACAGTGAGGAGCTGTGAATTTACAGCCATTACCCACCCAGCTGTCAGCCTACCTGCCAACAGCTTTAATGTATTCAAAGACGTGCGCTAAGTCCCCTTTCTGCCTTCACTTGTTTTCTTCTCCTCTATGAATTTCCTTTGTCTGCGATACTCTATTTTTTTATTTTGTTCTTTTCTTCTTTCTTGCTGCTGCATGTCTACCCTGTCAGGATCAGGTCTCCCTAAAAAAACTGACAAAAGCCTTTACGTTAACTTTGTTGGCAGATCCTCAGCTGGGCTGTGATGTTGGAATTTTAACATTCACATCTGCCTTCATTATTGTCAAGGGATAGATAAAAGCAGCTATGCTGGGAGCAGGGACGAGTGAAGGTAAAGAAGGAAGGTTCATTAACAACGCTATAAAAGACAAGGTAATATGATATGCATCTCATTGCACTACATTACAACCTCAGTGGTGCAAAGGTGTGTCAAGTGATGGTGGAGGAATGCAAGATGGCCTCTGCAAAGAACAGATCACTTTTCTCATGAATATATAAATTGATCTTTATGCCACAGCAGTTTAGGATAAGATTGTGAAATGAACCCAGGGCCATAAGAGGGGGAGTGTTCCGGTAAAATACAGAAAGGATGAGAGGCAAGAAAAGACAGATATCAGCAGTAAGGAGGGAAAACAGTGTAAGCAGCAAAAGGGCATGCCAAAAAGAAAGAGAAGGTAATTAGAAGTAAAAGGCGRGTTGTGGGGWATCAAGACTACCATCAAAAGATGGRAACAATAAATCTCTCAGTGYACTTAATCCATCACCAGGATCATTGAGGTTTGTCTCAGTTCAGGTGAGGGTGTTCATACTGTGGAACAGTGGCTTTCATGTAAAACTCTGACTAAAAATGGAGCAATCTGCTCTCAGCGTGACTAACTTTAGACTTCTTTTTTCCTTCTTTGAAAAAAGAATCAGTGGCTTTCATTTAGTATAATTAAACAGTTATTTTGACTCAATCTATGAGTAATGTGTAACCAATATAATTCTGAAATTTATATTAGAATGTTCCTTTTTGACTGGATTAAAAGTAGACCACACTGAAGTTGAGCCTTACCCTCATCTTGGCGCAGGCATCTTGTGTGGACTCTGTCCCTCTCAGCTCTTTCACCAGCATGGAGCCGAGGTACTGTTTTAAAAAAGACAAGTTCTGAGTAAAATACACACTCAGTCAAAGACCAAAAACATGAACTTCAGATTGTAAAGTACAGTAAAGGCAGGAGAGATGTTTTACACCAAACCTTAACAGAGATCCTGACTATAAATGATGTTTCTGAAGCAAACTGATAGTAAAGCTGAGCCTACATTATTCTCCAGTCAAGATGAATACAGACTTCCACTCAGTCTGCAGATGAACTTCAGCATAAATGACAGAGATTAGGTCTARCAGCAGGGACAGTCATCCTCTGTCAACTTTCTGTGCAGTTCTGATGAAGATGACTGATAAAACAGTCAGACTTCCTCAAATCTGAGCCGACCATCAAACACTCAGTGGGACACTGCTTTATTTGTGCCAGTGCTGCTTCTGTCTGGGTCCAGACTGCTGGCAGCTGCTTCAGTAACATGACAACTTTACAACAATAAGCCATAACATTATGACCACTGATGGGCAGTGATTAACAGAGCTCCTTTTTATGTATGAAATGGGTAAATCCTACATGGGTTAAAAAGTGAAAAAGTTTCTTTCTAACTTGAAGTATTTGTATTGTCTTCATGTTCATGTCTTCACTGAACAAGTCTCCATTAAGTAGTCTGAGCATAAGGTTTCATTAAATACACACAAACACACAGCAGTGATTACATCAACCTTGAAAGGCTCCCAATAGTCCATTAACGCTGCTGTCTGGCAGATCCTTCTGTCTGGATGTGACTTTCCACTATCTGATTTAATAAAGAAGCTACTAATGGTGACAGTGTTTTACAGGAACTATGTTTATGTCGACATCGGAGCACTTAATGGGTGTGACACTCAGCACCCCACGGTGCTTGTCCAGCTTATAGCAGGAACCTTAATCCCTAAAGTGGGAACCTAACAAGGCTTTTAGTGAATTACATGCAAAATGCTTCAAGATTGTTTTGGTCTCATGTTTTAACTTTACAGCAAATGACTTATATCAAGGATTTTAGTACTGACCTCATCATTTATCTTGCRTTTGGTTACAGACAAATTGGATTTTAGGATAATTTTATTAGACAGTACATACAGAGACACACTGAATCAGTCTGTCTAGTTAAGGAGTCTGATCATGTTAGGATTTTGTCTCAAAGGTAGCTAACAACGTTAGATTCTGTTTTTTCATACAATGACTTGTTTTTGTCTATTATTTGTTAGGATCTCAAAATATAGGCAACAGCAACAACAACAAAATGTTTYATAATAATTCTAAATAAAAGTGACTTAATGCATTTTTTAACAGAGGAATGATGTCTCAAATTGTTACGTAACAGAGTACTGCTTCTGTCTGGCCCTTTAATCCTTCTTTTTAGTAACTAAACAAAATAAATAGAAATGTGCTCATGTAGCAGACATTTTTACACAGGCAGGGTTGAGATTGCTTTGCTGGCAGTGATGGATAGTGTGGTAAAAGTGTGTTAATAATGTTARTATGCCTGCAGGTTTTATGGGAGAACGATTTGTAATAATGTTGGATCATGTCTTTGTGCTGTGCTTGTAAGTTGACATAACAAAGTTAAGTTGCTATCTAAGATGGTGCTGAAAGTGGTGAAGAATAAGCACCAAAACATTCATTATTTTGGCTCTGGCTTCTTACAAGCATCATCTTCCCTTTATATAAAACTGCTTCTCCTCCTGTCAGCGTCTTATCCAGTTTGTTTCTATTCAGGATCCAGCTCCTTCACATTGTCAGTATTCACAGTGAGCACTCAGCTGCCACTCTGCTGAGACTCTTACTCATTTATCTCACTTTCTGAACTCTCTTGAGGCTGTTGGACAGAGAGGACTGAAGATGTTGTCATGAAAGCAGCAACATGTTTTCTCTGGTGGCCCACCCATTGTTCATTTCTTCAATCAGCTCAAACACTTTGATGTTGATCAAACTGTCAGAAGCTGCAGGCATCAATCCTCCCTGCCTGCAGTGACAGTCAGGCAGGTATAGATTTAACATGGCTGTCTTGTTTGTAAAGCAGGGGGAGAGTGGTGGGGTCAGAGTTCATGTTGGTAACAAAAAGCCAACCTGGCATGTAGGAATTAAGAAGGAACAATGGGCCTCATGGAAGAACATGTTCGTATTCTTATCCTAAATTTCTCTTACTTTTGTTAGTACAAAGTGTTCGTACGAACATGTCACATCAAATTCAACAAACTCTTCTATCTTTAGGAAAAGTGTGTAAATGAGCTGCATAAATTCCACCTGTTTGTATCCAGCTGCTCGTGCACG